TCGTGGGAAAAGGGAGAAGGGGAACGTGGGTAATAAAAGCAGAAATGCAAAAAGGGGAGGAAAAAAAAAGATTTTTAAAAAGTTGCTAACATCAACACTCCCACTTTTGTTTCAAGACGGCTGTGGGCTTTATTGCTCACAGATCAGTTTCCTTTGCAGGTGATGTGGGCCCAGAATGACATCACCAGCAGAGCAGCCAAGAGCATCTCCGTGCCAGGATGACCGAAGCTGAGAGGAATGTATTATCACAGGCCTCTGAGGGACTTGCCAGTGCATTCCTTGCTGGGGGTGCTGCGATGGGGGAGGCAGAGAGGAGACAATTTTACGAAGACTGAAAGGAAACTTTGTGGAGGAAAGATCTGGGGTCACAGTCCTGCTGTCTCCTCTAAGAAGATCTAATTATGGCCATGTACTTCAAAAAGAGGGTTTAACTAAAACCAGATTTAGCAGGGCACTGCTTAGGAAGTACAGACTGAATCCTCGGCCTCGCCTTTGAGGAAAATGTGAAATGCTTCAGTGCACTGGCAACACCATCGCTGTGGTTGTAAGGAATAATTCAAAGCTGCAGCAAGGAAAGCAAGACCCAATCTAAAATCCTCAACACTTCCATGAAGTCTTACAATAAAATGTGACTAAACACAACATTGATGCTCTCAGATAGACAGTACGTAAGTGTTAGATACTGAGTGTGTATTTACATACACGTCGTGTGGTGGGGTAAAAGAGTCTCCGCATTCTCGGGGATAGTTTTGGATATGATCAAATTACTCACAAAGCAGTTGCACAGATCTCCCTTAATGAGCTCCAACAAAGCCTTTCTGCTGCATTGCACCCTCTATTTGGCAGACCATGTCCCATGCATATGAAAGAAACTCCCTCCTCCCCCCATTTCTGAAAGCTTTCAGGCTATTTCTGCCCTCAATCCTGCTCCGCTGTCTCAGTGGTCCTCACTGCAAGCCTATACCTGAACCATTAAAATCAGTGGGAGCCTTCCAGTGCTTTTAATAGCAGCAAAATGTGCTGTCGACAAACTGGATTAAAAGAAGAGTACAAGACAAATTGTTTAGAGATTAGCACCTCTAAAAATGTCAAGATTTTAAACCTCCTCTCCTAGGTCAATTGAGAGGTTGAAGCACTGCTAAGGTTACACAGAGCTCTCTCCTTTTCCACTAGAAGAAAAAGCCTTGCTGATCAAATAAAGTTTATCATTGATCCTTAAGATCTCTCTGCCCCCACCCCCCTACCTCAGTTCCTTAAAAGGGAAGGCAAGAGGGCTGGGACTAGGCAGAACAGAGAACAACCGGGTACCACTTCATGTTAACACTGCTTTACGTAAGAGGTTTTTTGGGACAGGGAAGTGCCAATAGCTGGTTTGGCTGCAGCCACCTCAGCTGGTGTCCCAGCTCATGCCAACAGCTCACTCTCCAGAGCATGGCTAAAGATCAGGAGGTGCCTATGCTGGGAGGACTAATTTTATCCTTGCAGCTGCTGCTGCACCGTCTCCTGCTCTTCAGGTGTTCACTGCAAGACACATTGTCAATGCAGCTTCAGTCAGACCCCTCATTCTCTACTTGCCAGACCACAGAATCCTTAACCCACCATCTGCCACCAAAGGTCTCTGAGCGGGACCTAAGGGCCTCCAGCTCTTCACCTTATTCCTCAGCCTTGGCAGGAGGCTCCAGGAAGATGGATTCCTATGGACAAACAGCTGTTACATGAACAGCAGCTGAGGTGAGCAGGTGTGCAAAAGGGGAATTTTGGTCAAATGGTAAAAGCAGAAAATACTCTCCCTAACTTTATAAATTTTCCCACCTTTAGATATTATTACAGCACCCTATAGGGAAATTTGCAGAACACTTCAGCCACCATGTCTGTAGAAGCACTTCCCAATAAAAATGGCAGATTACTTTCATCTCCATCTGGCAATTAGTTGTCATTACTTTTTTCCTGTAACATGCCAACCTTTTCCACAACCTTTCTGCAGCTTAGTTGCACTTGGTATTGCAGAGCCAACACCAACAGACAGGCACTCCAGCTCTCTCCATTTACCCCTCCTAGCAGTCTACATTTTGAAGATCCCTGTGTACAATTTTCTCCTTTTTATATTTTTCAAGAATAATTGTACTTGACAAATCATGTTTTCCTGTTATTTCCTTCCTGTGCAAGGCTGACCTAATAATTAGTCCCTCATAGGGACTGTTTGCTTTCATATCAAATTGTTGTGGATGGATTAGAGATAATGTATGAAAGTGTATGTAAAAAAATATTCCAAAGTAAATACATTAAGAGAGTGCTAGAAATACATTAGAACTGAGGCATATTTCTGCTCTTAAAGTATTTCTCTTTTTATCTTGTTCAAACTTTAACAGGGCAGCAAAAGCAGATGTTGCCTCTGAAAGTTGGTGTGGAGAACAATGGTTAGGAAAGACTGATAAAATACTCTGAGGAAAGAAACCGCTTAAATTACTTAGATCCAGGACAGAAATTATTACTGTTCTCATTGTACCAGACTGCTGTGAGATGGCCGTCTCACAGGACTGTTCTTCCTCTGGCTCACCCTGTCTCATTAACATTATAACTGCCAGTGCAACAGAGTGGCTGATGGGCAAAGTTCACCTCCATGTCCCTTTTCTTTTTCATGGAGACTACAAGTCTGTTCAGCTCTTAATAAAATAACCCTCAGGCCTTGAAGCACCAGTGTAAACCAAATTTTATATATATGCATATATATTTATATTTGTATTTTATATTTATAGAGAGAGAGTGGTACTTATAAAACAAGTACGCCTATACAAGCATAGAAATGCCTTTGGACAGATCAGTTCTCTGTCCCAATATGCAGATCAAGTGAGTATGGGAGTTTTTTGTATGTCTTAGCCTATGGCAACTTCATCTTTCTACTACAAACTCTTTCTTTTTAACAAAAAGCTATTGCTGTTTGCCACTGTAGGGCTTTCCTGAGAAGTCATCCTATCACTCTCTTTCTCAATGAATATAGCCCTCAAAAGATACTACTTGCAGTTTTTAATACCTACAAAGATGTGGGTGCAGCCTCACTTTCATGTGCACTCAGCAAACAAAGGTGAGGAGTTTGAGATCATTTAAGGCTGTACACCAGTGAGTGGTTTCCAGGCTGTCCTGATTTTGCTAATCTGCTCTGCAAGTGATCTGGGAGGAGGACATTGAAGAGGGAGCGATGTGCATGCTTGGTTTTCTGTGTTTAGCTACATGCCATGTTCTCTCTGCTTGGCCGTTACTAAACTTTTAATGAATTTTTTCATTAGCACCTTAGACAAACAAAGTGGATTAGATAGCAAACATCAGGTTTCCCATGTCACTCAGCATAACTCAAAAGGGCTTCAGCAGTAGCCGACAGTACAGAGGCACTGGCAATTAAAGCCAGTGGATTTAGTTGCTTTTAAAGATCTGCTTTCAATAGAAGTTCAAATTCAAGTTCTCATTTCTTTTTCATTGCTGCTTTTCCAAAAGTTGTAGAATATAGAAAAACTGAAGTTTAAAACACACAGAAGAGTATGAGAAAATGCCTGCAGAGATGATACTTGATATCTCAACAGTAGTAATGTGAGATAGATAGAAAACTTTAATAGTTCTTTGAAGGGAGTGAGTTCAAAAGAGGTCATAATCTTCGGCTAATTAGTGGCCTTCATGACTTGAGGTGGAGTAATAAGGTGGTAACAATTGTCAAATTAAAGGGAATTTAAAATGGAAAGACAAATGTAAATGGAATTTTAATACAACTTCTGTAGCATTTCAGTTGTCTGCATGTCCACACATACACAGATATTCAGCACAGAGAAAAAATGTCATCTATGAGAATCAGATGTGAAATTGCTTCTTACTTGGAAGTACAACAATTTTTTTTTTTTATTTTCTGCTAAGAGAATCAAATCACTAAGATGCAGAAGCATTTTTGTCCTTTAAAGTTTGTCAATAAACCCAAGAAAATAGAGAGACAGAAAACCAGCAGTTATTAAACCAGGAAATATGGTCACTGTAGCTCATGTGCCACTTACTCAAAGCTGGCGCTGAACTGAGCTCAGGAAATACACTGAACAATTTAGCTCCTGGCTTTTTGCAAATGTCTGCCACCAGACTGTGGTTTCCTCAAAAGCATTTCTTCTTTGAAGTTGCTTTAAGTATTCTCCTCAGCACTTTTATTTAAAAAAAATATTTAAAAGAAAAAACAAAGTTGTACATTGATTTCAAGCAGCTTGGTATGAGCCTGAAGATTTAATATTGAAAAACTGAGGCTTGAGGTTACTGAGTGCTCATTCTTCACCTAAGGTAGGTGCTCTTTCTTTTCTTACAGAGTCAGAGAACAAATTACTCCCACAAGGAGGACAAACACTTGAATAAAAAAACTGGAGCATGTGACCCCATGAGATAAACACTGCACATAGTCCATTGCAGGCTGGGGACGTTTTATAAAACATGAAAATATTTTCTTCTAGGGGAACATAGATCTTACCTGAGGCATGCATCTTCAAAAATAAGAAAAATAATGCGAATGGTTTGTGGCTTTGCAAGCCTAAATGCAAAGGGCATGGCAAAGTCCCTACCACTTGTATGCCAGTATCCTAATGTGTGTTGTGTTACCCCGTCCTCCTGCTGTGACAGTGTCCCGTCCTTCACAAAATGTAGCGCCTAGCAAAGCAAGCCAGTCCCAAACTTGCCAACACAAATAATGTCTGATCAAAAGCTACCAGGAGGTGAACCCAAAACGGGCATGAGTCATTCAAAACAAATTCCTTTCTTAATTCACACGTACACTACAGGAACGTTCAATGGTATTCCTCCAACTCTAGACTTGCACAGTAATGCACTTACTAATAGCAGGGATGGACTGACATTTACAAATGGTTTACGCACGAGTTCAGTGCCATTTAAACACAGAAAATGTGAGACCGTGTCAGCAGTGTCACTGCTGAGCTGATAAGCTCTGGGATGCTGGGGATACTCTGCCCATCTCAGGTACTCACCTCTCCCGCTCCTGTTCCAAGAGGTTGGTAAAGTCATCACTCTTGTTCATGTAGTCTGTATGTTTATGTTTCTCATTTTCTAGCTCATAAACTGTGCGGCGATGGCACTTCTCTGCCAACAGGAGCTGTTCCAGCATGCGCCGATACGTCTCTTTCTGCTTTTCTTCAAGTCTGTCCAGCTGGATTGTAGGAAAGGAGAACACACTGTTGTAAAGGTCTCCTTGCTTACTTCATCTGATTTATTAACCAACAATGTTGTGTTTGGTAAATGCGAGTCCCGTAATTTTATGTCTTGGGCTTTACATAAAGCAGTGACTAGAAATAAAAATAACTGTCCTGTAAAAGTAGTTATTTCTTTGGACGGAGTGTTTGCAATAAACATTTACACAGTTCTCAGATACACAAAGGACAGAACTTTGCTTAGTTTTAGCTTAAGAAATAATTTTGTTGCAGTGCAGAATTTCCCCTGTGGTGAGGTATTATGCACACTTCCACCATTTCATATGGGAAAAGCTGTAGCAAATGCCAGGGCAGGGCAGCATACGGGCCTTCAGATCCTGGGAGCCCGAGTTCATGCACCTGTATGTGCACCAGACACCTAGATGTGGAGCCTAACGTGTAAGCTCAAGGCTTTTATTTGAGTTATACATCTTCAGTGCACCTGTAGGATTGTTGAGAGAAAAAGTCTAAACTATTTAGATTCAGCATAGATTCAGATTTACATTACCAAATACAATTCATTCTAAGCCTTTGGGTTTTCCCCCAGCCTGTTTTTTTTTGACAGAATTTTCTTTATTAGCAACATTTTACCTTTTTTGTCTTCTGTTTTGTTTGTTTGTTTGTTTTTTAAATCAGTTTAATATGACAATTGTTATTGACACACTAATGCCAGGGAGGTGTGTCTGAAAAGTTATTAGAGCACTCTGAAGCCACCACGGCTATTCGTGTTATTACTTTCAGTGTTTCTCTGAAGCAGATTTCAAACTCTATCCTCCTCTCTGCCAAGGCAGCCCACAGCCCTGGCACTTCTGTGCTTGCCTGCCCATGGCACAGCAGCTGGCAGAACCTGCTCTGCCCACACCCAGCCCTTACCCTGCCAGAATCACATCTTCCTCAGCCCAGGCTGCACCAAGCTGTTGCTGTTTCACAGAGTGCCTCACCAAACTGAGGGAAGTAAGAGAACAGGAGGACCACGGCAATTTGCTTGCCAAAGCAAATTTTTTACTTTTTACCATTACTTTTGGAGAGCAAAAAGTAAAACAAAAGTAAAAGAGTCATTGCATTTTATAAAGGAGCCAGGCTGAGTTCAGCCTTTGAGAGTATGTCTCTTGCAGTGTTTTGCCAATGACCAGGCCCAACAAAAATGATACAGCCAGCAGGAAGATGAACCAATACACAGACTGTATTGTAGACAAAAATGTTACAATATGAATGACTGCCGGGGGTACAAACAGGTCAACCAGCTTGTACATGATCGATGCCACCCCCAACGATCCCACAAATTACATAACTCGGCCCACAACAGGTGGTACAAACGGAGCCCCGAGGTTGCCCATAGTTAGCATGGGAAACAGCCAGACCAGCAAGCTAAGCACATAAGAGAAAGGTGCCCACATGGTGACTCTCACCCGATCAGCCCACGTTCACAAAGGTCTTAAGCAGACTGGGGCCCAGCTCCAGGGAGAGTCAGGAGGTCTGCCCTGAACCAGGAAGCTCTGGGGAGTGCACTCCACAGACAGACACTCCTAACTCCCTGCAAGTGGTCCCAGCTTTTATCCCCAGGCACACACCTGACCTTTGTCAACTCAGTGCGGGACCCCTGGGGCTCGTTTCCCTTCTGGCTCTCCCTGCAGGGCCGGCCGCACCCTGGGGGGAAGCTATAAGGCAAACTCACCACCTCTTTATGAAGGGCTGTGAGAATCACCCATATGTCAACCTTAATTCGGGGCTCAGGGTTCAGAGCCCAGCATTTCATGCACTTCAAACATTTTGTTGGCATCCTATTTTTGCTCTAACAGAAACCCCTGTAGACCTACAAATGACAGAAGTTTTATACTTAAGTCCGCATCAAATTATCAGCTTCTTTAGACAAAAGCCCTGCTAAGCTCTGTTAATCTGCTTGGACCATATTTCACGCATGCTCTGACATGCTAAAGTTTGCTTTCTTTATTTACTGTTATCCCAAAAAAATTCCAGAAGATGCTTCAATGAGAATATACATTACAAATATATACTGTGATAAACACAATCCTTGGTAAAAAAATTAAATGTTCTAGGAGGAGGAACTATGAAGATTTGGACAGGTGCTACAGTATGTTATATTGTATGTTGTTGCATGCTGTTTCTCTGTGCCCTGGACTGTTATGAAGCTATAAATATGAGCAGAGGCTGCTTATTTAGGCATTCACACTGGCCTCAGACATTCCCAGGTCAATTCTAGATTCAGTTATTGCTTAGGTTTTACAGAAAGGGATCAAATCCTACAGATCTTCTTTAGGAGCTGAACCAACTTTGCAGTTCTAGAGCTTAAGTGATGTAAAACGATTATGGATTTATGATCCCATAAATATGGTCAAAGTCTATCTCTAAAGGTCTTCTTCTCCTAACTACTCAAATGACAGTGGTCTAATATGCCAAGAAAACCAAAGACTGCCTACCAGTGTTGTGAGCAGTAGAGTGGAGCCTGTAATTGAAAGGAATTTTAAAACCCTAAATATAGCACCCAAAGATTTTAGTTTCACTTAACAGCACCAACCCCAAGGACCATACAAGCTCTTTGTTGTTTTTGTTCAAACCAGTGACTTTGGTTAGGATTTATTCTGCAGTTGAATAAACAAGAATATTCAATTTTTCTATGATTTCTTGTGATTTGTACAAATGCTGTGTCACCCTCTTATGTGTTTTACACACATCCAAAATATGTGGAGTCTTGCTTCTCATTAGGATTCCCCCTGCACAGGCATAGTGATATAAATCAAGAAGTTATTACCTCTGAAATTGGTTTCTCATAGACGTCTTCCCCTATAGACTTTTCTTGGGCAAGGATGGCATCCCTGTGTAGCACTCGGAGCACATTCTCTGGTGTTGCAGACCCATAATGAGCTTCTAAAACTTCAGGTTTGGTTTTCTCTGTCTTCAGCATGTGGATCACATCCTCTCTTGCCTGTAACATTGCAAATCACTACCATAAGCCAACCTAATAACCAACAGGGAATATAGGGTCATTTCATACGTAGGGACTGTACACACAAAACCAGAATAAATTAGAAGAATGCTGGGCTGACAATGCAAATATAAAAACTCTGGAAGATACCAGAGTAAACATGATTCGTGCAATCTGAATGTTGTCCTTGTAAGGCAGTTACCATATTCCTGCTTGCCATTACATTTGGATGCTATGATCCCTATTATCTAGGTTGCAGCTATAGCCTCTTCAGATATTTACCTTCCTCACTTCCCTTGCTGTGCCCTGACTGGAATAAGGAGATGAGCAGAAGAAGCAGCACAAGTGGGCTAGATTAGTATTTCACACAGAGCCTCAAATCAAGTATTTCCTACTCCTTCCCCACTTGACTTTCTGACTAAATATTCTCTTCAAGTAAGCTTTAAAATTGAGTTTTCTAAATTTTGTTTGTTTAAAACAAAAGCCCAGAAATGTTACAGATCAAAGCTAACTGGCACAACTGGTGGCAGACCCAAAGAGGCTGAGCAAACCCATCGGGCAGCAGTGGAGGGCTGCTGGTGCAGGAGTGGGGAGCATACCTGGGAGCACTGGTGCTCCTCTGGCCAAGGGGAGTGTGGGTCCCAGGTCCTGATCCCTGCCCTGAGTGGGAGCCCCAGCTTCATGCAGCATGACCAGGCATCTGGGCATGACGAGACTGCTCTGCAAGGCCACCTGGCTATGAATAAGGGGCATTTTAGAGCTTTGCTGCAGACAAGTGCTTAATCCTGAGCCCTGTTTCTAATGATACTTGGCGACATCTGTTAAGCCATCTGTAAAATGGGGGTAGGGCACTTGCTTGTCCTTCAATACAGGTTCGTAAGGTCATGATCCAGGGAGGGGCTGTAGAAGGTACAAGTTTTCGGTGGGCACAACAGAGTTCCTGGATTTCCCTGGGGAGTATCTGTCGCACAAGCCCAAAGGCATGGGGGGCAGAAGAGTATGGGCACCAACTTTTCTCTCGCCTGCCATTCTGACACTCAACCCGTGCTAGTTTGGGAAGCAAAGTAAGGTTTAAAGAAAGGTTTAGAAAAAAATCCCTTACAAATCCTACTCCTATGTAAGCAATGACTGTTTAGGATTTATGGGCTGACCAATGTTTCGTGCTTTTCCACAGTGCTCATAGTGGCACTGTGTATTATCCCTGTAGCAAATCTTAAATCTTTACCCAGTACCACAGAGACATCACAGCACTACAAAAACACCTGCTTTTAAAATGAGCAAGAAAATAATTTCAGGAAATGGCAAGGACTATTTGATATTTTTATTTTTTCTTTAATAAAATAAGATAACATGAAAATAAAACAAACAAAAAAAAAAAAGAGAGAAAAAAAAAGAGAAAAAAAAAAAAAAGAGCTTGAGGCAAAGGTCACAGCACTCGATTGAGAACTAGCCTAATTGTAAACAGCTAGATGTAGTGTCTTACTCTCCACAACTTTTTGTAACCTTAAGTACAGGCTTTGTGCATGTCTTCAAGATACAAACTACTGCCTGGAATGCTATTAATGTTGTTGCAGCATGAGCTTGGGAAAGGTGCATCATTCATGGCTGTCAAAACTACAAGTGAATTATGCGAGCTAGTCCCACTGAGTGCCAAAAGAGCATGTACACCTCACTACATCACGTCCTGCAAATATGTCACTCACGCTACAGGAAAATGTTATTTTAGGAAAGTTTTAGGCAGGTTTGAGAATCTATCACTTTTTATAACCATGTAAAAATAACAATTATCTTTTTGTCATTGTTACTATGAAGCCAATGCTTCAATATTGAAGGAAAAGCCCTTAAAAAGTCTAATAGGATAGCGTGGGAGTTTAAGGGTATTTATAAATACCCAGATTTTATGACATGTCTTGGGCCTTTTTAAGAAGAGACAGTTTTGGGGCCATATCTGTGTCTTGCCCCAATGAACGAATTTAGTGTCCCACTGTGTGTCTTGCAGCAGGGGCTCCATGCCACAGGTGTGCTCAGGGAGAGCACTGTGCAAATAGAGCACCCAGAACAGCAGGATGAGTGGGCAGCAACCTTCTACCCTATGCACCAAAGGCCACAACCAAGCATGCTGAAACTTTGATTCATTCTGTTCCTGAGCACAGAAAGCTTCAGCCCTCCCCCTGCCCCACTCCTCAGGGACAGGCACACCTCGGACCCAGGGGTATTCATAAGGGGAGAAGGATGTGTTCGTTCTCTCCTGTTGAAGCTGTTGGGCCCCAGATGGTATAATTAAACATTGTCAGGGATAGGCAAGGCAAGCAGAGAGAACTTGGGCATGGTGATTTAATACTATGACTTGGAAGAGTAAAGAGCTGGATTCCAGTCCCTGCAATGGTTATTTAATACCGTAATAGCTGACAGAGGGACTAAATGCTGCTCTTAGAGAGTGCCCCAGCCCCTGTCCAGTTGTGCACTGCCATGCATAGTTTTCTTCCAGCCTCATTAGTCTTTAAAAATTAGCGATTAAAATGGAGCAACTTCAGCATGAGGGAATGAGTCCCTGGAACAGCTTATAACTTGCCAGCTAAGGAAGGTTTCTGGAAGCTGTCGGTTTGGGTCTCCCAACAGCCAGAGGAAGCTGAGCCTCAGGTGCAGGTGATGCTGAATGGAGGAACTGGTACCTCAGGCAGGAAAGAAGCTGTCCAAGCTCAGTTCTGAGCTTTGAAGAAAACCACTATTCATTGCTTCATTGTTAAATCAAGCAGTGACATTTAGTTCCAGGGGACAGGGCAGGGCTGTCAGCCCTTGGAAACCCTTCATTGCAGCCCAAGGGGAGGGTACCCAGTCTGAGAACAGGCTGCGTGGAAGCATCCCCAGGGTGCAGACAGCTCCCCACTCACATATCCCTTCTTGGGCACCTCTCACTCTGCAGGCACTCAGAATCTAGATCACGTTAGCATGGCAAGTTGCCTGCTGCCTTTTCTGGGCTTGGCCATTGCCCCTGACGGTGAATTAGCTGAAAAGATAACATGTACTCAGTTTTAATGGACCTATGATACCAGTTTGTGAAAAGCAAACTAACAGATGCACACTCAGGTTGCTAGGAAACATTGGAGCAAAAAAAAAAAAAGGGCTTTGTGCTAATAATAAACTGGAGAGAAATTTGGTTTTATTTTGTCAGCAATAAGCCCCAGCATAGGAACATTCTGAAGTGCAGCTACTCTAGGTTGGTGTCCTGGTTCTGTGTAAAAAGGGGTTCAGGGCAGGACCCACACGGAACAGAACTATGTACTCGCCGCTCCCCTACCTGAGAGAGAGAGAGACACTTTGGAAAAAAAATGAAGTATATTGTTTAACAGGGAACAGAAAACGAAAAAGGGAGGTAAGGAAAATAATATATACAAAGATTTGGGGAAAAGTACAAAAAAATAAAATATACAAAACCCTCAGAAATGGTTCCAGGGTCCCACGGAGTGAAAGGACAACCTCCCTCTCCGAGCTCCAAGGCAGGAGTGAAATTAGAAACCACTCCCTGCCTCTTATCAGAGTGTGTGTGGGAAGGGGAGGGAATACAATGGTTCACCCCCACCCGGGGTCCTCCCAGTTGCTGGAAGGTCACGACCCCATTCCAAGCCTCAAACCACAACAGTTGGAGAGCGGCCCAGGAGACATCCAAACCTCCTATCAGCCTCTGGATTTTCAAACTCTAGTAAGTGCCTCTGAAACTCTTCAGGATAATACAGAGGGAAGGAGCTAAAACAGCAGGACCGTGTAGCTCGTGATTTCATGTTTCCTCCAACTGACCAATTTTCCACTGAAACAACTAGAAGAGATCTCATGTAGAGAAGCTTTCTTTCAATGTATAGTGAGCAGCTATCACTATATTAAACTGCAAGATACAGACCAGAAAACAAGTCAGAACAATCCTGGAGAATGCCTGGGCTACTTCAACACATGTACCTGAAAAAAGATATGAGAAGCTCAAGGCGGGGAGGTCTTAGCTAAAAAGAAGGTCTTAGGGCTTAGCCAAGAAGACAGAACCAACTGGCAAGTTGTTTCTACTGGTGGATATCTACTGTAGGTGCCTCCCTTGTCTCAAAGCTCAGTGCTGTTTAGCATAAATCATAAGCTAAGAGACAAACACAAGGAAGAGATTTCAAATTGGAAGTAAACTTGAGTATAAATCCCAGAGGGAAGTTGTTCACTGGTTTGGTAGGAGGAACATGATGTTTGGCATAGGACAGTTATCTCTCAGGTCCTTCTTTTTGTTTTGTTAGTGCTCTGATGACAGACAGTATTCAAGCATGAGAAGATCATATACTGCAACACCTTGTAACATAAGGAAACTTATCTGCATAACTCTGGAAGACTGCAATTAGTCAGCAAAGATCTTTAAGGTCAAGACACAGAATTTAGGAAATGCATAAATTTACTTTGTTTTTTCATTAAGAAAATTTCATCAAGAGAAGTGTGGCCAGCAGGTCAAGGGAGGTGATTTTCCCCCTCTATTCTACTCTGGTGAGATCCCACCTGGAGTACTGCATCCAGTTCTGGAGCCCCCATTACAAGAGGGACATGGACCTGCTGGAGCGTGTCCAGAGAAGGGCCACAAGAATGATCCGAGGGCTGGAGCAGCTCTCCTACGAGGACAGACTGAGAGAGTTGGGGCTGTTCAGTCTGGAGAAGAGAAGGCTCCAAGATGGCCTTATTGTGGCCTTCCAGTATCTTAGGGGGGCCTACAAGAAAGCTGGGGAGGGACTTTTTAGGATCTCAAGTAACAACAGAACTAGAGGGAATGGGGCAAAGCTGGAAGTGGGCAGATTCAGGCTGGATGTGAGGAAGAAGTTCTTCACCATGAGAGTGGTGAGACCCTGGAATGGGTTGCCCAGGGAGGTGGTTGAGGCTCCATCCCTGGGGGTCTTTAAGACCAGGCTGGATGAGGCTCTAGACAGCCTGATCTAGTGGGAGGTGTCCCTGCTCATGGCAGAGGGGTTGGAACTGGGTGACCC